CCTAGGTGGCTAAGCCTCTCGGGTTAAAAAATCCCAACAAAATCTTATCTTAATATACTTGGTTTTAAACCCGTAAGCTAAAACAACTCATCCATGTAAATTTTTTTTATTGGCATTTGTTTAATCCTTGATTAAATCTGCCTAAAATGCTGTGCATTATTATCCATGGGGAAGCGCTAAACCCCAAGGGGTCACAGCGCCTAGGAAAAATGGGTATTATATCACTTGTGCGCTTTTGCTTTCGATATTATCATGATTTACATACTTGGACTCGTGCTTCCGAACGGAGAGGTTACTTGTGTCCTCAAAATAATCACTTAAAACAGCAATATTAGGTAGCTCTAAACCCCACGGGTCGTAAAGAGGCTGGGAAATGGGAGAATCAGGTTCAAGAGGAAAATTTGTTCAATTCCTTGAATCAAGAGCCCTTCCCAGGCATAAGGAACCCGTCGCTTGATAGGCAACACTACTTTATCAAAATAGCATCAATATTTAATGTAAATCTTGTACTCTATACTGTATTATAGCTCTCATTAACTGTGACAGTATTAATGATACATGTACTGTTTTCAATTGAATTTTTGAGTTTGGGTGAATTATAAACAGGTAACATAGCCAAAGTTAATTCAGTCTTCTGGGTAGTGAAGGATGACTTGTGGGGTCCAGGCTGTATCACTGGCTGGAACACTAGGCTGCGTCACTCGTTGGAACACTAGGCTGCGTCACACGTTGGAACACTAGGCTGCATCACTCGTTGGCACACTAGGCTGCATCACTGGCTGGAACACTTGGTTGCATCACTGGCTGGAACACTTGGTTGCATCACTGACTGGAACACTAGGTTGCTGCAGCACTGGCTGGAACACTAGGCTGCTGCAGCACTGGCTGGAACACTAGGCTGCTGCAGCACTGGCTGGAACACTAGGTTGCTGCAGCACTGGCTGGAACACTAGGCTACTGCAGCACTGGCTGGAACACTAGGCTATTGCAGCACTGGCTGGAACACTAGGCTGCTGCAGCACTGGCTGGAACACTAGGCTACTGCAGCACTGGCTGGAACACTAGGCTATTGCAGCACTGGCTGGAACACTAGGCTCCATCGTTACCTGGAACACAGGATCATTAGTTGAAACACTGATTCAGTGTTGAGTGCAACATTCATCATATCAACCAACATTGTTTTTATGATAAAAATACAATTTTAGCACTTAATTACTTTAATGACATTCTCTCAGCTCAGGCTGATAGACTTCAAAACCAATAGGGTAAGATTTGTTCATATTTTTAACCCGGAGGCTTAGCCACCCAGGATAACCCTAGTCAGAAAGTCTGCGGGGGCTGGTTAAAAACAAGGCTTTGCTGGTAAACAAGGCATCGCTGGCAAGAAACAAGGCATCGCTGGCAAGAAACAAGGCATCGCTGGCAAGAAACAAGGCATCGCTGGCAAGAAACAAGGCATCGCTGGCAAGAAACAAGGCATCGCTAGCAAGAAACAAGTCATCGTTGGCAAGGAACAAGTCATCGTTGGCAAGGAACAAGGCATCGCTGGCAAGAAACAAGGCATCGCTGGCAAGAAACAAGGCATCGCTGGCAAGAAACAAGGCATCGCTGGCAAGAAACAAGTCATCGCTGGCAATAAACAAGGCATCGCTGGCAAGAAACAAGTCATCGCTGGCAAGAAACAAGTCATCGCTGGCAATAAACAAGGCATCGCTGGCAAGAAACTAGGCATCACTAGCAAGAAACAAGTCATCGCTAGCAAGAAACAAGGCATCGCTGGCAAGAAACAAGGCATCGCTGGCAAGAAACAAGGCATCGCTGGCAAGAAACAAGGCATCGCTGGCAAGAAACAAGGCATCGCTGGCAAGAAACAAGTCATCGCTGGCAAGAAACAAAGCATCGCTGGCAAGAAACAAGTCATCGCTGGCAATAAACAAGGCATCGCTGGCAAGAAACAAGGCATCACTAGCAAGAAACAAGGCATCGCTAGCAAGAAACAAGGCATCGCTGGCAATAAACAAGGCATCGCTGGCAAGAAACTAGGCATCACTAGCAAGAAACAAGTCATCGCTAGCAAGAAACAAGGCATCGCTGGCAAGAAACAAGGCATCGCTGGCAAGAAACAAGGCATCGCTGGCAAGAAACAAGGCATCGCTGGCAAGAAACAAGGCATCGCTGGCAAGAAACAAGTCATCGCTGGCAAGAAACAAAGCATCGCTGGCAAGAAACAAGTCATCGCTGGCAATAAACAAGGCATCGCTGGCAAGAAACAAGGCATCACTAGCAAGAAACAAGGCATCGCTAGCAAGAAACAAGGCATCGCTGGCAAGAAACAAGGCATCGCTAGCAAGAAACAAGGCATCGCTGGCAAGAAACAAGGCATCGCTGGCAAGAAACAAGGCATCGCTGGCAAGAAACAAGGCATCGCTAGCAAGAAACAAGGCATCGCTGGCAAGAAACAAGGCATCGCTAGCAAGAAACAAGGCATCGCTGGCAGGAAACAAGGCATCGCTGGCAAGAAACAAGGCATCGCTAGCAAGAAACAAGGCATCGCTGGCAAGAAACAAGGCATCGCTGGCAAGAAACAAGGCATCGCTAGCAAGAAACAAGGCATCGCTGGCAAGAAACAAGGCATCGCTAGCAAGAAACAAGGCATCGCTAGCAAGAAACAAGGCATCGCTGGCAAGAAACAAGGCATCGCTGGCAGGAAACAAGGCATCGCTGGTAGGAAACAAGGCATCGCTGGCTGGATGAGGCACTTGCACTTTGGTTAAAATTATGGCTGCCATTGTTAGTGTTTTAGTGTTAGGACTATTATTGCTACAACGCTTATTTTTTTTCCTAAACTTCCAATGGCCAACTTACTATAGAGATTACTTAACTACGTATATATATCAATGATTACACGAACATAGTAAATGCTATAAATAACAAAAAAGGCACAATACCGTAACTGGAACGATACACAAATAACCCGCACATAAAAGAGAGAAGCTTACCTGGAGAGAGTTTCGGGGGTCAATGCCCCCGCGGCCCGGTCTGTGACCAGGCCTCCTGGTGGATCAGCGCCTGATCAACCAGGCTGTTGCTGCTGGCTGCACGCAAACCAACGTACGAGCCACAGCCCGGCTGATCAGGAACTGACTTTAGGTGCTTGTCCACACTGAGTGTGACTTTGTCAATGGTCCAAGTCGGACCGAAACGTCGTTGTAAGCTTCTCTCTTTTATGTGCGGGTTATTTTTGTATAGTAAATGTTAATACATGATCGACATATTTTAGATTTGAGTATTAATGCCCCAGACAGGTTGTGGACCAGAGTGAAGTCTGCCAGGTGAGGATGACAGGGAATCCTTACGGTGTTAGGATTAAGATACTGTTGGGAAAAGATTATTGTAAAAAAACATTAAAAAGGGGGAAACATAAGTATTAACAATAATAAATATGAGGCTTCATACTTCCAATTTATTCCTATTATAGCTGAGTAGCAGGAGACCTGTAAGGTCTGATACTTATCCAGGTTGAAGCTGGTATTGGTGGGCCATACAGACGAGGTAAGGATAAAGTTGCATCATTTATCAACATCCAAGGAATTGTTTTAGCATTTAGTTCCTCCACACCAGGAAGGGGAAGGCATGTTACATCAGTGGATTACACTCCTGAACTTCGTGTCAACATGTTAGGTTAGGTTAGGTCAAGTTCGTCAGGAAACAGGAGAAGTGTTTCCAGATTTCCAGACGCGGGTCTTAGTCAGATGATAACCCGCCTTTGGAGCTTTTGGTCATCTGACCGAGGCCTTCCGCTGGCTTACCGGTCCACCGCTTTAAAAATTATGGTCATTTATAACCATTGTTGTCGGCACGTCAGAGTGGCGTGTCTTAGACTATCAAAAATCTGCAAAAGAAAGCTGTATAGCCCTTGTGGCTTAGCGCTTCTTTTTGATGATAATAATAATAAAAGTACAACACAAGGTAAAAGAATGACAACGCTACTAGGGAACTGGATCTGTGTTCCGGTACCCTGAATTATTATTATTATTATTATTATTATTATTATTATTATTATTATTATTATTAATTATTATAAAGGGGAAGCGCTAAACCAGTAGCATTATACAGCGCTTGGGGGGGGGGATGTGGAAGGTATTCAGGTTTAATTTAGGGAACTGGAGAACAGATCCAATTCCCTAGATCAAGAGCCCCTCACCAGCATCAAGGAACCTCCCTTGAAGGGCCCCTGAATTGAGCCTGAATACCTTCCATCCCCCCCAGATGCGCTGTATAATCCTACGGGTTTAGCGCTCCTCCATGATTATAATAATTATTATAATAATCAGCGCTTCCCCCTTATTATAATAAAAATAAATCATATAAAAACCCAGGAAAAAAAGCCATATACATCGGCACCGTCAACTCTAGCACCGTTGAGAGGCTTTTGATTCAAGGAATTTGACCTATCATCCTTTCCATTCCTCCAGCCACTTATTAATTCCTAGGTGTTTAGCGCTCGCCCAGGATTATAATAATAATAATAGCGTTCCCCTAAATGAAGGTCATTATTAATTTGTATCCTGTCCATGACGTCACTTGAGACATTGTATTTCCCGAAAAATGTTGATTTAGCCTTCGTATTATATACCATTGTACATTTTTTGGAAAAGCCATTTTTAAAGCATTTTAGACAAGGATTGTAAATATAAACGTCTAATCAACTAGTATTATATAATTACTGAGTGATAATTAATTTTAAATACATATTGCAATATTTTCTTACGTATATATTCTTACAATTAAACCGCGTATAGTGTAAATTTGCAAGATATATAAACAGAGCCAATGAAAATAAGTTAAGGACCCCAATGGAAATAAGTCACTTTGTCTGACTTTTGGGTTATCCTAAATAATATACACATATGTTACTATGTATGATAATTCGTGTAACTGTATTTATGCGTACCTGTACCTAAATAAACTTACTAATAACATTTATCAAAGTGATCCCTCACATCAACACAGCTGCAGCTTTCCTGTGAATCAACTACATTTATCTTGAAGAAGACTGACTAACAGTGAGAGGAAAGAACAGTGAGGCAGTATAACAGTAGTAATTACACACTGCAGCTGCTGCTCTCACTGACTGGAGAAGAAACTCTCAGGTAAATGCATCTATCATGAAAAAAAATGTTTATTTTCCTATTTTACTAATCTAGCAGTCTTCCACTCGTATATTTTTTTTTTCATAGATGGGTTCGTAATTAATAGTTGTTGTGCTGTTCGTCCAGATAACCAGTTAAAGGATATAAGAAATCTATGGTTTGGTAATCGAGTTGTGGACCCTAAGGGAAATAAATCACTGACTCTTTATGGGGGTTATTCTAGGTAATTACGCATATTTTCGATTATTTGTGTTACTATATTTATGTGTACTTGCACCTGAATAAAGTGAGTGGAACAAACTCCCGAGTAGCATCATTGAAAATAAAACTTTGTGTAATTTTAAAAATAGGCGAGACAAATACATGAGTGGGTTTACCTGGAGTTTACCTGGAGAGAGTTCTGGGGGGTGGGTGAGTGTGAGTTGGACCTGCCTAGTATGGGTCAGCAGGCATGCTGCAGTACTATTATCTCCCCGACGTTCCCAAGTCAATGACTGGACTCTTGCCTTTGTTGTAGACTAAGGCTGAGATATCCCAGTCTTTATATAGCCTTCTGCTGTTCTCTTATTATTATAGGCCCTTCATAATATGAGAAATTACGAAAGCACTTGGAATTAAACTATTTTTTAAGTGATTGTTTTGCATATTGTGATATCACCTGTTTACTGTGATTTTTATTGGATGTTTGTATATATGTATGTACATTGCTAATGTATTGTATACATTAGCATTGTATTTTATTAGCTACAGTGCTAGTCATGGTATTATGCATTATGCCGCCCAAACTTGCACACGAAAATCACTCCCTACGATAGCAAAAGACTCGGCAGACGATGCAACATCCCCCCAATGAAAAGCAGGGGTGTCACTAGCATGTTAAGAGGCAACACAATAAGTGTCAGGGGCCCGAGACTCTTCAACTGCCTCCCAGCATACATAAGGGGGATTACCAATAGACCCCTGACTGTCTTCAAGCAGGCACTGGACAAGCACCTAAAGTCAGTACCTGACCAGCCGGGCTGTGGCTCGTATGTTGGATTGTGTGCAGCATCAGTAACAGCCTGGTTGATCAGGCCCTGATCCACCATGAGGCCTGGCCACAGACCGGGCCGTGGGGGCATTGGCCCCCGGAACTCTCTCCAGGTAAACTCCCCCACATGTATACCAAAACACAAACATATACCATGAAGGATTATAATACATATATTTGCACACTTACTGAGGTTTTAATACTTGGTGGTGCATCCTTTATGCTTAATCATGTCCCTCAGCCATGTAGGAAGACTCTCACACAAATTCTTGAGGGTCTGGGGAGGTATATTATTCCATGTCTCGTGTAGAGCAGCCTCCAGCCATGAGATGGAACTGATGTCCTTGACCAGTAAACTTTGTTTCACTATTGGCCAGAGGTTCTCAATAGGGTTTAGGTCTGGGGAATTGCCTGGCCACTCATTAACCCTTTGACTGTCGCGGCCATATATATACGTTTTACGAGGTGCCGTGTTTGACGTATATATACTCATAAATTCTAATGGCTTCAAATCAAGCAGGAGAAAGCTGGTAGGCCCACATGTGAGAGAATGGGTCTGTGTGGTCAGTGTGCACCATATAAAAAAAATCCTGGAGCATGCAGTGCATAATGAGAAAAAAAAAACTCCGACCGTTTTTTTTTAATTAAAATGCCGACTTTGTGGTCTATTTTCGTATAGTATTTATGGTTGTATTCTCGTTTTCTTGGTCTCATTTGATAGAATGGAAAACATATTACAGAAATAGAGGTGATTTTGATTGATTTTACTATAAAAAGAACCTAGAAATGGAGCTCAAAGTAGGGGAAATGTTTGATTTTTGCCAATGTTCAAAAGTAAACAAATGATGCCATTGTCCAACAAATGTCCAACTAGCCATTCTAATATGCAGTCATGAATGGGTTGATGTTATTTATACAGTTATTACAGCATTGCAGTAGTCTGCATAATAGTAAGTCTAATATTTTTTGTTTGAATAAAAATTCAAAATAGAAAGCAAGAGTAATATCAGAAGGGCCTGGAGACGTGACTGATGAACAAAGAAAACGTTATTTTAGAGCCAGGAATGTCTGCATTGTTCATTCTGGACCTTATTTTGAAATTGTCATATTTTTTAGTTTTCGTGAAATTGGCCAAATTGCAAATTTCTGACCACATTATTAGGTAGTTGAAATCAGTAAATGGGCAGTTTCTTGTATTCAATCGATAGAAAAAATGAAGTTCTAAAGAAATAGCTATGAGTTTGGGCGACTGGAACAATGGAATTAGCCGAAAATAGGTCTCAAAGTGGGCGAAATCGCCGATTTGTAAACAGCACCGAGGTCGCTAACTTCGCGAGAGCATAATTCCGTCAGTTTTCCATCAAATTTCGTTTTTTTGGTGTCATTACAATCGGGAAAAGATTCTCTATCATTTCATAAGAAAAAATAATTTTTTTTTTTTTAAATTTTGCGACACCAGGAGACACCTCAGGATTGGGGGTTGCGACAGTCAAAGGGTTAAAGAACCCCACTTCACAGTCCTAAAGCCACTGAACTGCAGATTTGGCAGTATGAAACAGTGCACCGTCATGCATAAAAACTGTAGCCCCACACTTGTCAAATGCCTCAGATAAATTGTCACACAATAACTCCAGGTAATTATACTGGTTCATATACTGTTTTTTGGGAAGTGCAGTGAGTTCACCAACACCCTGAGCACTGAAGTACCCCCAAACCATGGGTGAGTCTGGGTCTTTGGTGGTCCCACAACCTCTGAGCCAGTACACATGTCCCCCACGGTTACAGGTGATGGTGAAGGTTGCTTGATCACTCAAAAGTACCTCAGACCACTGGTTGAGGATTCCACTGAAGATATTTCTTTGCATAATCCAGCCTACGTTTCTTCTGTGGCTTGGAGAAGATCGGTTTCTTAACCTAGCGGTGACTACTGTAGCCCAGTTCTGACACACGTCTGTTAACAGTTCTTACAGACACCTTTGAGAGAAAATGTGGGTTCTTTTCTTTCAGTTCTCTAGCAGTTATCTTAGGTGTACTCTCTAACTGCTTCTTTAACATAGTGAAGGTATGAACAGACGGCTTCTTTGAGTGGCCAGGCCTAGGTTTGGCAGACGGTAACTTGACGCCGCCACCAGCCTTGAAACGCTGCACCCAGTTCCTCACTGAATGCTCACACACACCAACATTCTCCACTATTTCTTTCATCTTTTGCCCAGCTTTGTGAAGCTCTATGATTTGAGCTATAGTTTCAGGTGTTAAAGACTTCCTTTTACCCATAATCAAACATGTATAGCCCCAAAACCAAAGGGAACACCGAACAAAAGATGGGGCGGATGAGAGACAAAAGTGCAACACTTCCTCTCACCATGGCAGCCACGTGAGCACTGATGAGTCACTGTGGAGTGTGGCGGCAGGCCATGATGTCATGCTAATGGCTGCTACCCGGCATAATGCACTGACGAAAAAGACCCTCCTGTATGGTAGGCCTTTGATTTTCGTCATGGCATTATGCCGAGGCACTCACCCGGCATAATGCTGTGGCTAGCACTGTAGTTCATAATTTTAAAGTATTTTTAGCACTGTAAAGTACTGTAAGTGATTAAGAAACTTTTACAACCATATTATCTTTGTGAAGTGACTCTCATTTCTTTGTTTCAGATTTCTTTAATTATAAAGAAATGCAGTATCCCTCAGATTTGTTTTTTATGTAGCTTTGTCTTGTAGATTTTTTTTTTTGAATTAGTGCAGACTTGATGACTAGACAAGATACTAAACTGTCACATACAGTATGACTATTAAAAACAGTTACAAGTTTTCACTTATAAACATTGAAAGAAAGCACAAAAGGGAGCATAAAATATTCTATTATTCTTATTCTTATACATTATTTCTAAAAAAACAGAAAGTGCTAAACATGCAGTATTTCAGTCTTATTGTTAAAATTGAAAACCGTTTGTTCCTTAGTAACGGTCTCTGTGATGATTAAATAATGAATTCATCATTTAATCTTGTGTATTTTTATTGTAATTTTAATTTTATGCACTGTTAATAATTTAATATTATTTGTTTATTACCAAGACAATAATCAAACGAAAATGCTTTCACTGATGACGGCAAGCAAGACCACGTTTGTTGTGACCAATGGGATGACATCTTTTGTGATTGACAGATACAAACATAATATGGTGTGAGTTTCCAAAAATGCTTTTTCTTATTTAACTTTTTGTAATGATTAGAGTCAATTATGGAATGTTCACTACTGTACTTAAGTGCAGAATATTATATTTGTAGGTACTGTAGTAGACTGTCACACTTCTTCACAGGAGGGGTTAGCAGTTACCATTCCACAATTTGTGGTTTTATTAGATTGTTGTATTCACTCTGCATACCTTATAGATTACTATGTATTATCTTCTACATCATCTTTTCAGTGACTTATTTTTCAAGTCTATGGCTTTCCTTTTTTTTTCCTATGTACATGAATACTTTCTTGCTTCTTTTATGTTATTTTCTTCACTTGATTTGTGCTATGTAATATTGCCCTTACCATTTCCACTTGTTTTTGTTCATTGTACCAAATGGTAAGAGGAATACTAGGATGATAAAAAGACATGTGAAACTCATCAACAGATGCTTCAAGTGTTTCTTTGAAGTTCTTCACTGCTTAAAGCTGGTTTTAACGTGTGGAAAATATAGTGTATAACACCAGTCTCTCCAGGAAAAAAATAGCTGGAATATGTCCTCAGAGTTTAAATACAGGTGACAAATTTTGAATGTTGTTCAGTTTTTCTTGTATCATAATTTTAGTTACCTGTATAATTGTTGCAAATAATGTTTGATCAATGAGGTTAATCTTAGATTCATAATCAGAAATTTGTGAAGAGTTATCACTGAAATATAATTATTCTGATGTCTCTTACTATGTGTTCGGAGGGAGAGAGATTTGAGCTAAAGTTATGCAGATGGGAGTTAAAATAAAAAAAGCACAAATCTTAGGAAAAGCTAAATTAATATTATGCTAGTCTGTAACCTAGAGTATCCATATATTCATTAGTTTTGTTTTGGGGAGAGGAGAATGTTATCTATGGGAGTTTTCTTAATACTGTCACAATGTTTTAATCTTTGTTAATACAGGTACATGTCAATAGGCTAAAATTGTTGGGTCCAGGAGCATTCTGATCAATTGGATTTTCTGATTAAACCATTCAGAGACAGCTGTGTTGCAAAGCATAATTCATGCAACCCAGTATATAATACTTAAAAGAAATGTTTATCAAACTTGATAAAACTTTTGACTTTCTAAAACTGTACATACCAGAAATTGTAGATCATTTTAGTCACATAAGGTAGATAAGTGAACTGGAGATGAGGAAGAACAGAATGTATCAGATATTGATAAATACAGATCATAATTTACCGTGATCATCACAGGAAGAAAGTGGGGGTATCAAGCTGGCCAGCTGATGCATCTTTGTCTTTACACTAGTAGTGTTGGTTTATTGCTCAGGAAACAGAACACAAGATAAATGCTTTCCTTAGTCTGGCTTACCAGCTTTACAACCCATTTAAAAATGTGAGAATCACTACCTAGTAATGCCCAAAAAAGGATATATTTATGGGTATCTTGTACATTTTTTTTAGTGATGGTCATTTGAAGACTTGTTACCTTGTAGACCACTAGCAGCAACAACCTGTTTGATCAAGTAGTCTGTCACAGGTACTGTATATCATAAATATAATAACATCAGTGCTGTAAGCCTCTCTTTGGTAAACACATCCTGTGTCTGAATAATTTGCTGTTAGGTAATACATGATTTCTTGCCAAAAGTAAACGGTTTGTATAAAGTGGAGACAACTGTGTCAGTATGAGTGTTTAATGCAAAGAAGCATTTACATTTTTTCAGTAATGTTTGAAATAACTTTGCATAGCTCTTAGGCATATTTTATAAATTTCACAACTTTAGACTTTATTATGTTGCAGTGAACCCTTCAAATCAGGATTAGCACCTATTATTACCTAATTTGTTATTTTTAGTAGCTACAGAAACGGCAATAAGCCCTAGTGTCTTGGCAGTTGTATCACTCACCAATTATATCATCCCAGAGAAGACAGTAGCAGGTCATCATGGCATGTCATACCTTCCTTAGAAGAGGAAGCACGATATTATTATTATAATCAAGGGGAAGCGCTAAACCCGTAGGATTATACAGCGCCTGGGGGGGGGTTGAATGTGGAAGGCATTCAGGCTTAATTTGGGGAACTGGAGCACAGATCCAATTCCCTAAATCAAGAGCCCCTCACCAGCATCAAGGAACCTTCCCTGAGGGGAGGAAGCACGATAATCTTAGGCATAAAATGCATCAGTCTGTATCTTAAATATATACTTAACATTTTCTTAAAAGTTTTATATGTCCTTGTGTTTGATGGACATATGGGAGCATGTTAGATAGGAATGAATGGAGACAAATGGCTTTTGGGACATGACAAGCTGTTTGAATATGAGCAAGGTAATATTTTGTGAAGGGATTCAGGAAAACTGGTTAGCCAGACTTTAGTCCTGGAGATGGGATGTTTGGGATAATTGCTGTTTGGACCCCTCAAGGAAGGTTCCTTGATGTTGGTGAGGGGCTCTTGATTTAGGGAATTGGATCTGTGCTCCAGTTCCCCGAATTAAGCCTGAATGCCTTCCACATCCCCCCCCCAGGCGCTGTATAATCCTCCGGGTTTAGCGCTTCCCCCTTGATTATAATAATAATAATGCTGTTTGGAGGGACATCTAAACTGTTGTATCTGATAGTGTAAATGATGGTGAAAATGTTTCTCATTCGGGTCACCCTGCCTCGGTGGGAGACAGCCAGTGTGTTAAAAAAAAAGTGAAATTCATTCAAGTTGTTCAATAACAAATGGCACATTGTTTGAATTTCTTGCATTAACCTAGGTGAAGTCCACACAATGCACTTTTTATGTGCTCGGAAAATCTGTGTAGCCTCAAAACCATTGTCAGAAGAAATCTGTGCATTCTGTGCCTTCAGTCAGGAATGCATCCATTGGATAAAGCAAGGAAGACATGTAATTCGTTATTAATGGCTTTGAATAAAATGTGGAAATTCACTGTTCTGATAAGGATAGTTTCCTCTAACACAGTATTGATGCTAATTGTAAATTATACTGATAGGCATACAGCTGTAGAACTATGACTCCTTCATTTACATTGTTGGGGAAAGTGTTCTAAATCTTTACTGCATAAACACTAGCGAGGTCTGGTCATGGACCGAGCTGTGTGGGGCATTGACTCCAGGTATATTAGAATCATTTATTGAAATTGTTAAAAAAAGAACGAAGTTTGAGGAGTGTGCAGCATTCCTCCATTTCCACCTTATGCATTACTGTACATGTTTGCATGGTATTGATGATGCTTAGTATCATAAATGGCTTAAGTATCATTATTAGGATCTTTTGAAATGAACTAACCATGTTTTGCTTATTCTTTATTTGTTTATCTTTCAGAAAATTGAATCACGATGGGGAAGGCAGAGAAAGGCACGCCAAAAGATTTGGCCAACAAGATGAAGGCCAAAGGTTTGCAGAAGCTTCGTTGGTATTGCCAGATGTGTGAGAAGCAGTGCCGTGATGAAAATGGCTTCAAATGCCACACTATGTCTGAAAGTCACCAACGCCAACTTCTTCTCTTTGCTGAAAATCCTGATAAGTACTTGGATAGCTTTTCTCAGGAATTTCTTGATGGTTACACTAGCCTCCTTAAACGTAGATTTGGCACAAAGCGTGTTCATGCCAATAATGTCTATCAAGAGTATATTCATGACAGACATCATATACACATGAATGCCACACAGTGGGAAACACTAACAGATTTTGTCAAATGGCTAGGGCGTGAAGGTCACTGTGTGGTAGACGAGACAGAGAAAGGTTGGTATGTGGCTTACATTGACCGAGACCCAGAGACAATCAGGAGACAGGAGCAAATGAGGCGAAGGGAAAAATTTGAAAAAGACGAGGAAGAAAGAATGCAAGATTTTATTAATAAACAAATTGAACTAGGACGTTCAAAGTTGAGTGATGATGGTGAAACTCAGTATACAGAATTACAACGTGATGAAGGCGAGACCATAGCACTCAACATAAAGCTTGGAACAAGTAAAGCAGCTAAACCAAAATTGGAAACTAATATTGTGCTGAAAGCACCTTCAACTAGCAAGATAAAGACTCAAGACAAAATAAAAAAGGAAGTTAAAAAACGAACTGCATTAGATGATATTATGGAAGAAGAGATGAAAGGGAAAAAACCAAAGGAAGAAATTTATTCTAAAAAGCAGCTTGACGGAAAGTCTCAGTTAAAGGAAGGTCCCTGGCTAGTAAAGAATATTGTAGTCAAAGTAATTACAAAAGACTTAGGATCCAAATACTACAAACAAAAGGGGGTGGTGCGAGAAGTCATTGACAAATATGCAGGTCTCGTGAAATTGTTAGAGTGTGGAACCAAACTGAAACTAGACCAAGCACACCTGGAAACAGTAGTCCCATCCATAAACAGAAAGGTGCTAATTGTGGGAGGGCGATATCAGGGACAAGAGGCAGTGCTTAAAAGCATACAAGAGGCAGAGTTTAGTGCTACTTTAGAGTTAAAAGATGGCAAAATTGTAGATGTACCATATGAACAGTTTAGTAAAATGTATACTTCTTGATTATAAAAAGTATGAGCTATTAACTGATCAAGTGGATGGTGCCTAAACTGGTTATGTAGATCATGATTATCCATTTGTATTCATAGCATGTTTATCCTTTTGTATAGCAATAAGGAGGTTTTTAGAAAACAAAAAGTTATGAGTTGGATTGCTGGATTCCATTCATAGTATTAATCATGATACAATGGCAAATAGAAGAATCAGAAAAAGATTATTTGGGATTATAAACCCAGAGGTTTAGCAATCTAGCATAGCCCAGTAAGACCACTTTGGCAAATTCCCTTTGGGGTCTTTTGATCTCTCCAGGATGTGAATCACAATAGTGAGCTAACACCCAGATACCTACTTATTGCTAGGTGAACAGTAGTATGTGTGAGGAAAAGTGCTCAATGTTTCCACTTATGCCAGGATTGAACACAGGTCCTTCAGATGTAAGAAACAAGCATTGTAATAGTATACAGATTGTAAGAAATTAACAACAGATATTTAGATCCAAGATAAATGAGTCCAAATGAAAGGTTGTGAGAAGGACTTGTTGATAAATCCTAGCATAATGACAATTTTTATATTTTCATAGTACTGTGCCTTGCTAGTAGCAAGAAAGACATTTTTGATAAAATCATATTTTTTAATGTACTGTGCTGTGGTACAGTACATATCACCAAAATACTTATATGGTTTTGTGCAGTTAAACTATTATAAGCATAATACATAATTATTATAACTAAAAATTTCCTCATCAAACATTAATTTTTGTCTGCATGAGTGTCTTTAGCTGGTCATGACTAAGTTGAAGAGAATATATTGTCCTTCATAAGGAAAAATATGAAATAGTATGGAAAATCAACAGTAGACAAAATATAGCAAGATCTTGCTAAATTTAGATTTAAGCTATAAAATTTATTTAATTTACATTTGTAAATTTTTAAATAGGCAATGCTGATGAATTTATTAAAAAATATTTTAAAAGTGCTGTACTAGTAATAAACATTGTGAATACAATAGTTTATAATTACTTGTTTTATTTAGATTAAATTGAAAATAGTGGTCTAAAAACTTTACACGACTGTTAACCCATGTATCTATGGTAAACACAACAGCATGGCAAGAGATGGGAGTAAACCTTGTGGCAGTCAATGGGGACTTCTTAAATAATATTCTTTGATGTACTGTATCTTATTGGAGGAGGATAGGATGATGAAGAGGGTATATATATCTGGAGTGAAAGGTAGAAGTCATCGCAAGAACATTTGGAGGGGGGGGGGGGAGGTAAGTAAAGGAGGCCTTGAGTTGCAGGGGCTTGAGCATCCAGCAGGCTTGTGTGAGCATGTTAGATAGGAGTGATTGGAGATGTGTAGTTTTTAAAGGATGTGCTGTTGGGGTATGAGCAGGGTAACATTTGTGAAGGGATCCAGGGAAACTGGTTAACCTGACTCCAAGTCCTAGAGAGATAAAGCACAGTGCCTGCATTATAAAAGGATGAGGGGAAAAGATTAGGATGTTGCAGTTCCGAGGGTCACTTGAACTGTGATGGCAGCAAAATTCTGGTAAGACACCAATGGAATGAATGATGGTGAATGTGTTTCTTCTGTTTTTAGGCCACCCTACCTTGGTGTAAGATGAAAGGCAGCTAGTGTATTAACAAACACTTAATACACTAGCTCTGTGGCCAATAATATCCTTTCGTATCACAGCTCTCCTTACTGCCTCAGTGACATAGTATCCCAAAGTCCTGTCATTAAATTACAGTATTTAGTTTTTTACATTGAGGCTGTTGCCCTTCCCCTTCAATAAGTTAATGCAACAGAGATAGACAAATCAATAAAGGAACACTATTATTAAAGCATTAAACAGTACCATATACAAAAACAAACAAGGAAATTATTTTGACGTTCTTGAATACTGCATTTTAAAAATAAATTATATTATTATACATTATATAGTATTATTTTTATAGTTCATCATGAAGTGCTTCCTCCTCCTGGGCCATCTTTTTAAGGATGTCATGATGATGATAGGCATGGATGTTGTACAGCATCTGTGTTCGTTCAGGGTTGGCAAATCTCTCGTGGTAGAAGGAGCCATCCTCCCCCAGTACTAAAGTCTTCTGACTCTCTGTCTTAAACAGTGGCCAGTCTTCCTGAGGAAGCCTGCAAAAGGATTATAACTTTAGGTGGGATTAAATTGAAAATTATTTATTTTAAAGTGCTTTTATTAGTAAAACAAACAGCCGTGTTAAATTTGGCTACAAAGAAAAAAAAGGTTCACAACATGCAAGTTGAAAATTTGGAGTAATGGTTAACCAATAATAGTGTCAGATGAAAACTTGTGCTGCTGAGAGAAGCAAGTGGCTACATTACATGTAGTAAAAGGGGCTTGGAAAATTTTAAAACATTTTCCTTCCCCACTGGTAAAACTAGCTCTGAAGAGCATTCGTCTCATAACCAAAAGTACTCAGGTTCAATTCCTGGGTGGGAGTCTCCTTTTACCTGCTGTCACTTACTTACTTACTTACTGTTTACTGGGTGCTAGCTGACTGTTGTGTGTTGCATCCAGGGCAAAATTGCTAATATATGTAAATGTGTTAAAAACTCCAGTCCTGCCAGAAGTTATATCCTGAGAAAAATGCCAGTGTGTAAGAGAACTTTAAATCTCTTGAAGCATTCAAGTGTTGAATAAAAAGTCTGCAAACTGCCATGTATCAAATGACATTGAAAACTTGTGGATGATCCATTCTAGCTACCTCAGTGTTTTGCCGGCCCTGTTCTTCAGAGCGTAGGGATGGGGGGAGTCTATACTGTTGCAATACCTCATCTGACCTCCCTCCTGTGTGCACGTAGGCTCTCTGGCACTGCCCTTCTTCACCTCCTGCAGTTGTGTTCTCTTTGTCCTGTGTGGGCTGTTCTTGCTCTGATTCTCATCTTACAGGCCTTTCTTGCCTCATTGGCACAGGAATCTGGGTCACTGAGGTCTTTCCCCATTCATCTTTCCAGTTGCCCCAGTACAGGCACCATTCCCTTCATCAGACCTTCACCAACTCTTCCCTCACCTTGCCCTCCTCCAGCAAGGCCCGTTAATCTTGCATATGCATTTCTGCACTGGGGGCCTTGGGGGAGGCCATGAATTTCCCCACCTCTCCCAGGTGTTAAGTCCTGAATGCTGACTGGGGCATAGTGTTTTGCCAGACTCTCAACTGACATCAGTCATGTCTAGCAAATAGCCCTGGTGAGTGGTGGTAAAGGATGCCCAATACGGAGAGATATAGGATAAGAGGCAAGTTTAGAAGTCAATGAGGCATGACATTCCAGGTGGTCCTTTGGGAATTCTCAGCAGAAATACACCTTTCATCAAAATGCAAATTTCCTAAATGAATAGAAATATTAGTACTCATAGAAGAACATTATATCTTCTTCTTTCAACACACCGGCCGCATCCCACCAAGGTGGGGTGGCGCGAAAGAAAAAACGAAAGTTTCTCCTTTTACATTTAGTAATATATACAGAAGGGGTTACTAGCCCCTTGCTCCCGGCATTTTAGTCGCCTCTCACAACATGCATGGCTTACAGAGGAAGAATTCTGTTCCACTTCCCCATGGAGGTAAGAGGAAATAAACAAGAACAAGAACTAGAAAGAAAATAGAAGAAAACCCTGAGGGGTGTGTATATATATGCTTGTACATGTACGTGTAGTGTGACCTAAGTGTAAGTAGAAGTAGCAAGACGTACCTGAAATCTTGCATGTGCATGAGACAGAAAAAAGACACCAGCAATCCTACCATCGTGTAAAACAATTACAGGCTTCCGTTTTATACTCACTTGGCAGGATGGTAGTACCTCCCTGGGTGGTTGCTGTCTACCAACCTACTACCTAGAAACATTATATCTGTGGGGGTTTATTCAGAGCTAAGATTTATTTTTTTTTTTTTTTTTTTTTTGCTGTTTTAACCTTTGGCTCTGATGTGTTTTTCTTTACAAAAGGTCCTGGTTTTGGGTTTTGTTAGTGTAAATTTGTGAATTTTAACAAAAACTGGTTTTTCATGCCATAACTGGAGAATGCCTATTTTGAGCAGTTTCAAATTTTAAACATTGGTGTATTTACCTTAAAGAAAGGTGTAGGTGCCATTTTTTTTTTTTTAAGAAATTGGGAAAATGAAATAATGGTTTTTACGAAGTAATCTGTAAATAATGCCCAATTCTATCAGCTTCAAACTTTCAATGCCGAAAACTTAAGACTGCAACTTCTGAAAAACTTCAGACATTGTTCTGGTGTTTTTGGGATATTTGTCTCTGTGGAATAACTTAAGAATGCCAAATCTTATTGGCTTTTAACATTCAAAGCTGGTATATCTTTGTGGAAGCTTCAAATTGGTGTTGCACTGTGTATGTGCCAATTTGCCATTTTTTATTGAAATTTGAATACGTATTTGTTTCCATAGTAGTAGGTTGGTAGGCAGCAACCACCCAGGGAGGTACTACCGTCCTGCCAAGTGAATGTAAAACAAAAGCCTGTAATTGTTTTACATGATGGTAGGATTGCTGGTGTCTTTTGTCTGTCTCATAAATATGCAAGATTACAGGTATGTCTTGCTACTTCTACTTACACTTAGGTCACACTACACATACATGTACACATTTATTTATACACACTCATCTCAGTTTTCTTTCATTTTATCTTAATAGTTCTTGGTCTTATTACTTTTCCTTTTATATCCATGGGGAAGTGGAATAAGAATCTTTCCTCCATAAGCCATGCGTGTTGTAAAAGTCAACTAAAATGCCGGGAACAATGGGCTAGTAACCCCTTCTCCTGTAAAGATTACCAAAAAGAATAAGAAGAAGAAAATTGTCAAAGTGGGAAGTCTGAATGTGCATGGATGTTGTGCAAATGATAAGAAAGAGATGATTGTGGATGTTATGAATGAGAAGAAGCTGGATGTCCTGGCTTTAAGTGAAACAAAGCTGAAGGGGGTAGGAGAGTTTCAGTGGAGAGGAATAAATGGGATTAGGTCAGGGGTTTCAAATAGAGTTAGAGCTAAAGAAGGAGTAGCAATAATGTTGAAGGATAAGATATGGCAGGAAAAGAGGGACTATAAATGTATTAATTCAAAGATTATGTGGAGTAAAATAAAGGTTGGATGTGAAAAGTGGGTTATAGTAAGTGTATATGCACCTGGAGAAGAGAGAAGTGTAGAGGAGAGAGAGAAATTTTGGGAAATGTTGAGTGAATGCGTGGGGAGTTTTGAACCAAGTGTGAGAGTACTTGTGGTTGGGGATTTCAGTGCTAAAGTGGGTAAAAATGTGGAGGGAGTAGTAGGTAAATTTGGGGTGCCAAGGGTAAATGTAAATGGGGAGCCTTTAACTGAGCTATGTGTAGAAAGGAGATTTGGTAATAAGTAATACATATTTTATGAAAAAGAGGATAAATAAATATACAAGGTATGATGTAGCACATAATGTAAGTAGTTTGTTGGATTATGTATTGGTGGATAAAAGGTTAATGGGTAGGCTCCAGGATGTACATGTTTATAGAGGGGCAACTGATATATTGGATCATTATTTAGTTGTAGCTACAATTAGAGTAAGAGGTAGATGGGACAAGAGGAAGGTGTCAACAACAAGTAGGAGGGAAGTGAAAGTGTATAAACTTAGGGAGGAGGAAGTTCAGGTGAGATATAAGTGACTATTGGCAGAAAGGTGGGCTAGTGCAAAGATGAGTAGTGGGGGGGTTGAAGAGGGTTGGATGAGTTTTAAAAATGCAGTATTAGAATGTGGGGCAGAAGTTTGTGGTTATAGGAGGGTGGGGGCAGGAGGAAAGAGGAGTGATTGGTGGAATGATGAAGTAAAGGGTGCAATAAAAGAGAAAAAGGTAGCTTATGAGAGGTTTTTACAAAGCAGAAGTGTTATAAGAAGAGCAGAGTATATGGACAGTAAAAGAAAGGTGAAGAGAGTGGTGAGAGAGTGCAAAAGGAGAGCAGATGATAGAGTGGGAGAGTTACTGTCAATAAATTTTAATGAAAATAAGAAAAAATTTTGGAGTGAGTTAAATAAGTTAAGAAAGCCTAGGGAACGTATGGATTTGTCAGTTAAAAACAGAGTAGGGGAGTTAGTAGATCGGTAGATGGCGAGAATATTTTGAGGAACTTTTAAATGTTGAGGAAGAAAGGGAGGCAGTAATTTCATGCACTGGTCAGGGAGGTATACCATCTTTTAGGAGTGAAGAAGAGCAGAATGTAAGTGTGGAGGAGGTACGTGAGGCATTACGTAGAATGAAAGGGGGTAAAGCAGCTGGAACTGATGGGATCATGACAGAAATGTTAAAAGCAGGGGGGATATAGTGTTGGAGTGGTTGGTACTTTTGTTTAATAAATGTATGAAAGACGGGAAGGTACCTAGGGATTGGCAGAGAGCATGTATAGTCCCTTTATATAAAGGGAAGGGGGACAAAAGAGATTGTAAAAATTATAGAGGAATAAGTTTACTGAGTATACCAGGAAAAGTGTACGATAGGGTTATAATTGAAAGAATTAGAGGTAAGACAGAATGTAGGATTGCGGATGAGCAAGGAGGTTTCAGAGTGGGTAGGGGATGTGTAGATCAAGTGTTTACATTGAAGCATATATGTGAACAGTATTTAGATAAAGGTAGGGAAGTTTTTATTGCATTTATGGATTTAGAAAAAGGCATATGATAGAGTGGATAGAGGAGCAATGTGGCAGATGTTGCAAGTATAAGGAAATAGGTGGTAAGTAAATAAATGCTGTAAAGAGTTTTTAGAGGGTAGTGA